AAAAAAAAACAAAGCTTCTAAAACAGAAAATCGAAACAAAAACAAACAAAGCGGTGCGCCAAACACCCAGGTCGAATGCCGCACCATGTGCCCAACGAATCCCAGCAGACAAACAGTGAGCCACCAAGCGTCAAAGCGACCAAGAGCGCGATCGACCAAACGACCAACCGACCGACAAGCTGAGGGGCCCACCGACCATTGAAACAACCAACTCAATTGATACGCTTCAACGAAATTCATGCCATCATCATCAGTCGAGCATGCCTCAGCGTAATTGCGCGAGTTTAAACACACAGCGCAGCGGCTCCGCTCAAAATGCGGGACCCAATCGGCAGCCCAACAACGTACGTAAGTACACACAAAAAACAACAACCTAAAGCAATGCCAAACAATGCCAACAAAAACAACTAAATAAGCAACCAGCAATACTGAGCTCAAACAGTAACAAAGGCAACATTTCAACAACAATCCATCGGATCGCAACGCCACAGCCGTCCCCCCTTCGACGTTGCGGTCGTCGCGCATCGCATCGCATCGCATCACATCGCATCGCAATCCATCCATCCGTCCGTCGTGTGGGAAACACACGACAAATCTGTTTCCCACGGTCTGGAAAAGTGTGTAGCGTACGAACAAAATATGTACATACATACATATCCATGCATATAAAGCGACTTACGAAAGCACCAACCAAGCAACAACAATAATGATAATAATACTAGCAACAAGCAACATAACAGCATGACACAAGTCAGTGGCAGCGGCAGAGAACTGTCATCATTGACAATAAGTAAGACATGCCCGCGTGGTGGGGCCAAACAACGATCCAGTAAGCAACCAACCAACCGACCAACCAAGCTAGCGACCACTGCATTGATATACATATATATATATATGTATGTGTGTGTGTTTGTCACTACCGCAATTCCGTCATCCGACATTTACTAGTCATTCATCGTGTGAGCGCAACACTTCAGAAGTTATGCTCTTCTGATTGGCACAAGCGGCGCGCACGATCACTTCTTCGAGCTTCAAATGAACGCTGAGTGTGCTCGCAAATAGGCGCGTCATCTCTCGAGAGAGTAGAGCGCGCGCGACCTGATACTCGGTAGTTTCGTAAATGGCAAGGCATTGTTGGTCACACGCTATATGCTGGTGCAGTCCGCAGGGGGTTTGAGGTCATTATTGTTCTGCCACGAGTGAGCAATAGTTAGTAAGTGTTGTTGACGCGATTGNCGTAAATGGCAAGGCATTGTTGGTCACACGCTATATGCTGGTGCAGTCCGCAGGGGGTTTGAGGTCATTATTGTTCTGCCACGAGTGAGCAATAGTTAGTAAGTGTTGTTGACGCGATTGTGAATTCGCCCTAAAGGGTAAAAATTAAAAAATAAACATTTGGTTTAGCCAAAAATACTTTCTCAAACAAACTACGACGCACAGAGAGGGCAAGTGCATGTATCAGGAAGGATCGATCCAGACGCTTAAATTTTTCTTTTTTTAATTTTGTTATAGCGTTTGAAGACATTGCAAACAGGTATGCCCTCAGTGTGAGACTATAATCCACTCAAACCAACTCTTCTCGCCCAGTTTCACCAGGAGGTTGTTTGAGCTGCTCGCTTGAAAGTGTTGACATTTTCAGTCAGCGCCGCAGAACGTCGGTGCTTTCGTTCCTAATCGCAGTCCACACTTCGGACATTAATTACCTGCTGCTTCTTGGCGTTGTTTACGTTCGCTTCTACGTGGTTTAGTGTTGATGTAGCGACCCTAAAAATCCATGCCTAAATCAGCTAGTCCATCCATCAGTCCTTGTCAGGCTCAACTCATGGTAGGCCCAAGCAACGTGCTGTTTCGATGGAGTCGGACCAAAGAGAGAGCTGCGATAGTTGAGTGGTTTTAAGGAGGCAAGTAGGGTGGTGATTGGTGTCGTCGTGGGGAAACCTTAACAAGCCAGACATGCAGATGTTGCGTACCTCGGTTTCGAGTCTGGTTAGGTTTGAAGTTAAGTTTACTACAGTATCTAGGATCTTAGTTGTGCCCGAGTTACGCCCGTTTCTCGCCTCAGCTGAAGCTTTTTGTCTGCGATGTATGGTGGTTGAACTCGTTTTGCGACTTTCACAAGGCGGAGTTAAAGAGTTGGTGACTAGACTATCTATGAATGTCGTTGATACCTTGCCGGTGATCTACACACAGAGCTGTCTTCTGGCGAGCTGGCGAGGATGATCCGCTTCGTGTAAGCATCATTTCCGATGCTTTCTACAACAAATACCGAGTTGCCTGCTGTTTAGATGGTGCTGAGGCGAATATCCGGTGTGCGGTTCTCTGAAAAGTCCACTGCATCCGTTTTTGCATAATTGCACGTTTCGAATCCAGTCGGATGAAATAACAGCTGTTTTCTACCCAAAAATTATTAAAATTCGAGTTGGGCCCAGACTGCCTTACATGCCTTTTGCACTCGTATCGTTCTGGCGCTAATTTTTTGGCCCCAAACCTCTCATTCCATTACATATTCACTACTGCTTGCTGAGATTCATAAAATATATTTCGCGCTTCTATGTACATTGTCTTGAGTTCCAAAGCCAAAGGGAAAGGATCTTTCTCGTGCTAAATCGGTTGAGACATTTTAAAAGAACACGTTGTATTGTGGATTTTGTGGAAGTAATGATGCACATTTTCTTGTTTCTAATTTAGTAAAGCCTCGAGGCACGCGAGCCAATAAGATCAATCCAGAACGTTTTGAAACACCTCTATCCGATAAATGGATTAATGGTGAGATTGATTCGAGTAATTCCATAAGACTTGCGACAATGAAAAAGTGGTTAATTGGCGCAACTTTATTATTAGTACCGAGTTAGCGAGCTCAATTTGGAGAGTTTTGAAGCTTTAACGCTTGATAAATTACTGGGCGTCACCCTGAATCTCCCTTCTTTAATAATAATATTCTCAATCTGTATCCACTCTAAACTTAATTTTTACACTTCCTTTGTGTGACATTTTATATACTTTTATACCAATATTTTATAGTAGGGGGTCTAAAGGATGGTTTCGGAACGTGATCTTTTCAAGGTAGAAAACATTCAAGGCCGCTAAGGCCAGATTAGACTTCATCGACGGCGAAAAAAGTGCCTTATAGCTGGAGGAAAAGATCAATATAGAGCTTATCTATTTTCGTTAGACCAGTTTTGCTAGCCTAAAGCACGTCAAGTGTCCTTAAAGTGGGCAAAATACGCGCTTTAATTCTTGTCAGATTTCTGATTTTCTCAAAGTAGTCGGGGTAGTTTATCTTAGCAACAACTTGATACAGATCTTACCCTGAGATATATTTTGTTTGTGACTAATTTAAAGCAAACAAACAATCCATTCCAAAAAAAAATTACCACTTTTTCGGCATCCATTCATCCAAGCACTCTGAACATTGTTTGAGCTGACTGCCCGTAAAAAGAAGCAACACTTTTCTGCCACACTTCAATCCCATTAAAACTGCCTCAATCGCTCTTTCGCTCTCTCACTGAGTTCGCCGTTGCCGCCAATAGTCGTCGCAGCTATTGCACAGTAGCCTCTCTTCTTTTTCACGCTTCGCTACCGCTAAGTACTTGCACCGCACACACACTGGCAACCTACAGCGTGCGACCACCGATCGTGCAACCAACCACCATAACCGGCAGCCATGGGAACTGCGATAGCACAAAATCCCCATCATTATATAAAAGTAATGGACGAGGCAGGTTTGCGGCTCATTTTGAAACCGACAAGCAAACAAGAATCAACGTTCAAAGGCGCTCCGCCCCACGGAGCAGCAAAAAAATCACGGATAAGAAATAAAAACGCGCACAAAAACTACAAATTAAGAACATCCATCCACAACAAAAGCAACAAATAATTATACCAAAGTACATTGCACCTCGGAAAAATGGTCATGGAAATGTCCAAAACATATCAGTACCGCAAGGTGATGAAACCACTGTTGGAACGCAAGCGACGCGCTCGCATCAATAAGTGCCTCGACGATCTGAAGGACCTGATGGTGGAGTGCCTACAGCAGGAGGGCGAACATGTGACGCGTCTCGAAAAGGCCGACATACTCGAGCTGACGGTGGAGCACATGCGCAAGCTGAAGCAACGCGGCAGCCTTTCGCTGCAATCACAGGCCAGCGCACATATCGAATCCTTTCGCTCCGGATATATGCATGCGGCCGATCAAATCTCACAGGTGCTGCTGCAGCAGTGTCAAGCCGATGAATTAGGTGGAAAAATTATGAAATTCCTCTCTACGCGCCTCATCGAAATGCAACATCAGCTGCTGCGCTCCTCAGCCGTGGCTGCGATTGGCACAGCGTCACCGACAGCCAGCGCCGCCAGCTTATTGCCTCTACCATTGACGCTGCAAATGCCTTTGCCGTCGGCAAATTATAACTACAGTGAATGTGGCGAATCGATGGGCTCACTTGAATCGCCGACCAGTGCGAAATCACCAATGGATTATTATAGCGCCGTGAGTGAGGCGGCGCAAAGGACATACACCACTGCTGCCGCGGCTGTTTCAGGCTCTGCTTTGTCGGCGGCGGCATCATCCGCAAACAAGGAACAGGATCTCATTGATGTTACGACTGTGGATAGCAGTAGCTGTTCAACGCGCGACACTGCATCTGTGCTGTCAGTGGATTCTTCCTGCTCCTCCGAACCGATGTGGCGGCCATGGTGATTGGCGACGGCACAAGCAATTAGTTAAGGATTTAGTTGAGTAACACACACACACACACACACACCCACGCACACATAGAATTCGAAACAATTTGAATCGACAGAATCGACTGTCTTCCGAGGCGCACGTATGAGGCATGGCGGTGGGCGGGCGGTGGATCATACACGCGCACGCCCCCAGTCCAATCGCCGCAACGTAGCTGCCACACACACACACATACAGAGTGCACTATTTGCTTTACTTGTTGTCTGTGATATAAATATGTATGTATTTGCTTTTTGTAGTATTTTGAGTTTGTATGTTTGTATGCAATTTTAATTTTCTAAGTAATTTGCATTATTTATAGTTTTGTTGCGATTAGGGGAAAAATTATTATTTTTTCATATAAATATGTATATTGTGCAGCTCAACTCCTCATGAACCGAGCGCACTGCAATTAAAATTGAATTGATGTAATGTCTGTATGTATTTATTTTATGTAAGAATTAAAATGACACTAATTTTTCTAAGAATTTAGCAATCAAAGGAAGTAGCAAACCGGTATTCCTGAAATTGGTACCTAGCTTTAATGGCAAATGCCAAGAAGTACAGTTATAAAAAAGCTATGCATGTAATAATTAAAAAAAATAAATTTAATTTAATTGTATCAAACTACAAAAGGAATTTTATTGAAGAAATTTCTATTTTGATAATTTTTTTAGCGTAAAATATTCTTACATAATTTAATGATTTATTTAGTCATCGTCATTTGGTTTTTCTCGAAAGCTTCTCAATATTAATTCTTTAGCTTTTTCGAGCTTTATATAAGCGCTGAAAGCAGACAGAGTTTTAAAGCTTTCTTTAGACTTTGTATGGTAGGAGATGTGGTCTTTCTGCTAGAGTTATTTCCTGACTCTATGAAACCATATTTAAACACCTTATGTTTTATGCGGCCTTCGTCTGGTGGAATACACTGAAGAAGGCTAGTTTAGTTAGTAGAATAGAGCGAGTGAACGAGCTGAACTCATTGGAATCAGTGGAGCATTCAGACCTACTCCCACCCTTCTTCTTAACGTCATGCTTAACATAGCGCCTGCCGACTAAGGAGCAATGGTTGCCTGACTGACTCGCGGTTCAGACCCTTTAGTTAGCGTTTGGGCTTCGATTTCATCCCTGATACCACGGAACGTTGCGTGACTAGTTTAGCATCAGTTGGCTTTTTATCCATGCACATCCCATAAAAGAATGAGTGGAGCGGGAGCAGTGGTTGGAAGGAGGAACCTGTGAACTTTTTCACAGATGGCTGGAAGCTTGTCGGAGAGGTTAGTGGAGGGTACTATCCAGGGAGCTTTTGAGCAACCTTAAATTTAGGCTTGGTTGGTGCTAATAAGGAAGCACACGATTTACTGCTGTTATATCTTCTGGCTGTAAGGGAGGTTAACATCTACTCAGACGCCAGGCGGCAATCAGAGCGCTGGGCTCACTTACGGCATGATCGAAGGGAAACGACTTAATTCACACTCTGTTGCATCGGTATATTAACTTGTCAGACTTTTATGGGGGCTAGGCCATAATGATATCACAGGAAACTGCGTGGCAGATGAGCTGCCAAGAGGCGACACCCTCGAGCCAGCGTCGCCAAGATTTTTAGTTCCCCTGACTACTTGTTGTGGACTTCGGTTGGAAGGAAGGGTGTCGTCTCAACCCAGCAAACGCTGGGGGAAGACCAGGGCATATGACACTGCAAGGTATTTCTGACCGTAGGTGGAACGAGCGCGGGCTAGGGATCTACTTAGGCTGTACTGATAGAGCACCACTTTTGTCGCCCAGCTTTTACTATATTTGGGCTTAGGTCTCTGGTCTCGTACTTTCTAACTGATCCAGAGAAGCTCTGCGGGACCAACATCTGTCACCTGCGAAACTTTTTTCTCGGCACTCAGTGATTCTCGCTTTAACCTACCAGTTATCGTACGATACGGTATCACAAAACACCAACGATCGCGGCCTAAGTGAGCCCCTTGACAAGTAAAGTCCTCTCTCGACGTACGAAAACCACGCTCTATAAGTCACTCATCATGCCCGTGCTGGTATATGGCGCAGAACAACATCCGATGAGGCGGCTCTTGGAGTGTTTGAGAGAAAGATTTTGCGGAAGATTTACGGGCCTTTACGCGTTGGCGACGGCGAGTACCGCAGACGATGGAATGATGAGCTGTATGAGCTTTACATACGATATGGACATAGTGCAGCGGATTAAAATACAGCGGACTCCGCTGGCTTGGTAATGTCGTTCGAATGGACACCGACGCTCCAGCTCTGAAAGTATTCAAACTCGGAACCCGCTGGTGGTAGCAGAGGAAGAGGGAGGCCCCCACTGCGATGGAAAGATCAGGTGGAGAAGGACTTGGCTTCACTTGGCGTTTCCAATTGGCGTCAGTTGGCAAGAGGAGAAAGACTGGCTTGCTTTGCTGAACTCGGCCAAAATCGCTTAGGCGGTTACAGCGCCAAAGAAGAAGAAGAAGAGAGTCTAAGACATTTGTGCAAGGCAATTTCCAAAAAAAAAATTGGCCGTATTTGGTCGTGATTTTTAAATTTTTCTTGTCACCTACATTCGACAATAAAAAAATTAAAATTATTCTACTGGCAGAATGGAAATAGTAAAAGTTTAATGAGTTTTGGTGAGCTGGATAAGATATTAAAAATTCTTTCGTAAGGCAAATCAAAGGCAAACTTTTGTTATTCTAGCACAAAAGTCTTAGCAAAAAAGCTCCCTCATTCACCGGCGTGCCATTCGAAAGATCTGAGTTCGAGTCCCCGCGCAGCGGATTTTTTTATTTTTTTTTAATTTTTTTCTTAAAACCAATTTTCTTTTAATTTTTAGGTTTTATTGTTTTACAACGAAAAATATATATTTTTTTAATTGCACTTGAATTTTAGAAAATCATTTTATGTATTTTTTAACAACTTTTTTTTTATTTCATTTCATTTTTAGGAACTTATTTTAGTTTTTTCTTTTTTAAATCCTTTTTTTTTACTTGGTTAAATATTCTTTTAATTTTTAGATTTTATTGTTTAAAAAGAATTTTTTAATTTCATTTAACTTTTAGAAACTTAATTAAACACCCATTTCCTTTTTTGATTCAATTTGTTTTGCTTGTGTTTACTACATTTTCTTTTAAATTTTGGGATATTATTGCTTTAAAAAAAATTTTATTTTTCAATTTCAATAAATTTTCAGGATCTTATTTTATTTTATTTTTATATATATTTTTAATTTAATTTTCTCTTAATTCTTAGATTTTGTTTTAAAAAATAAAAACACCTAATTTTTAAGTGAGTACTATTTTCTGCTGTGTTGATTTTTTTTCTAATTTAGTTTTTAAATTTTGTTGTTTAAAGAAGAACAAATTTTATGTTTTAATTTTATTTAATTATTAGAATTATTGTTTATTTATTTTCATGGTTTTTTTTGTATTTATGATTTTCTTGTTTTAAAAAGAAAATTATATTTTTCTATTTCAACTAATTTTCAGGATATTATTTTATTTATTTTTTTACTTAATTTTCTCTTAATTTTTAGGTTCTGTTTTAAAAAATAAAAACATTAAATTTTTAAGTAAATACTATTTTCTTCTGTATTGATTTTTTTCTTTTCGAATTTAATTTTTAGATTTTGTTGTTTAAAGAAGAACAAATTTTGTATTTTAATTTCATTTAATTGGTAATATATTTTTTTATTTATTTTAATTGTTTTTCTTTTAGTTTATATTTTTTTATTTATGACTTTTTATTGTTTTAAAAAGAAAATTATGTATGTTTTTTTTAAATTTAATTTAATTTGATTTTTAAAAATCTTACTGCTAAAAGGCGAGCAGCACAACGCTAAGAAATCCTCGTTAACAGATCTTTCAATTAGTCTTTCGAAAGACAGAAATGAGCTTTCAAGATTATTGCCAGAATTGACAATGGTCTTAGGAAAGACTTTCGTTTTGATACGCCAGGGTGATAGCAACTGAGATCTGGTGGGTAAGTACTAGAACGGTGTACTTGAAGAAAGATGGGCCTGGGGTCAACTCAGCTAACGTTTTCAGTTACAAGTAGCCAACCATTTAAGCACAATAGTTGGAAATGATTTATGCCACTTTTTCAAATAAAATACATAATTATGCAGTATTCGAATAAAATCCGTGGGATCATTGTTAATTTTGTATTCTCAGTGACACCTAGCGGCGATCAGTCATTTTGTATTATAATAACCCATCAATTAGACTAATTGGAACGAGCTGGCGAAAATTACAGACAACCAAACGAAATCGGTTAGTTATTGATAGACAAAGAACCGAAAAACAAAACAAGGAATAAGTGAAATTATATACACGCACGCAGCTACACGTACACACAAACATTTGAAAATGTATAATTTTCAAGCCTGTGAATCTTTTTGAGAACTAAGCGCAATCTACCTGGGTATGCAGTCAAACAACAATTTATGTATAAATGGGTATTATGGTGTCGGAAATTAACAAAAGAAATTGGAAGTGTAAGAAAAGTGGTAGCCGCCATAACCTCAAGTAATTAATAAGCAAAGTATAAATGAATCGTAAATTAGGGGCAGAAGATGACAAACTATTATAGATAATGATGAAAAAGATATTTATTAAAGAAGATGTATTAAAAACCTAAAATGAAAATCGAAATGCTGTTTAAATGAAATTTCTATGTCAACATGTAAATGAACTTAAAACTGTTTCGATTTTATTTTTTTTACTTATAAGACCTTAGCATTCATACAGGCGCGTACATGCATATGTATGTATGCATGTGCACATGTGTAAGTATGTTTTATCGTTTATCTGTTTGAAAGGGAAACAGAAATGGTGATTGGATTAATTTAAATCCTCCATAAACAGCCTTCATTCGCTGACTGGCTTCTGCTTCCTTAACCTTATGGCCGGCCAGAAAAAAGGCGTAAATTGTATAGTATTTATTGGAGTATAAAAAAGGAATGGAATTTCGGTTTAGAGGGTTTATGAAACAAGTAATAAGAAAAACAATTCATCGATAAGCAATTAGATACAAAATGGCGGCAAATCTACTGAATCGCGTTCTTTAGTACCAAAACGGCGGAAAACATATGCCGTAAAGTATCAGAACTGGAACAAAACAAAAGAAATTAAAAGATTACACAGATTTACAAAAAAAAAAAAAATCTGCATATTTAACCAAAACTTTATATGCCTATATTATTCGACGCGCTAAATGCGAATCCGAAGTTTGTTAGCTTCCACCATGACAGGTTCGAGGTCATTTGATAGGGAAGAATTCATTAAATAAACCTTAAAATGCATACATACATATGCGGTTTTCGACTCGCTGAGGTCCGTTAACCGCCATACTGTCAGGTTCGAGGTCATTTGAGGGTCAAATAGCAAAAAAAACCTATTCAATAAAAATAAAATCTCGCTGAATCCTTGATTCTTCAAGGCCATCTACTGGTCAAATTCAGTGGAATTGTATTACGCCATAAATAACAAAAGTTAAAATAAATAAATTAAAAGAGAAAAACAAATAAAAAAGAGAAAACATAATAAATATTATCCTTAAAATCGAATGAATTTAAAAAAAAATATTTTTCTTTTTGAAGCTATAAAATATAATCACTAAAAGAATATTTATTAAAAAAAAATCATTAAAAATAAAACAAGTTTCCAAAAATTTTATGAAATTAAAAAATTATTTCTTTTTAAAACAATAAAATTTTAAAAATAATTTTAAAAAAGAAAATATTTAAATACGAAAAAGAAAAACTACATAAAACACCATTTTAAAAATTAAATTAGTTTAAAATAAATACATATTTTGCTTAAAAAAAAATAAAGATTCAAAAAAAAAAATATTTATTGTAAAAGGAAAACAAATAAATTTAAAAAAATATTCTGCCCGAAGATTCGAACCTCGGAGCACTTAACTGGTAGCCAGTGCTTGGACAAGGGAGCTTTTCACCAAGACAGTTGGCAAGGGATTTATTTTTTGTAAGACTTACGTGCCAGAATAAACAAAATCTTTCAAACTATCTTACCTACTGCCTTTCAATTGTCTTACATATAAATTTCATGACTGGCGACAATTTTGCCAACGACAATATTAAATTTTTCTTGGAAGTGAAACTGTGGTGACAATTATTTGTATGAAATAAAACACCCACCAAATTGTCGAATTTTCACTGGCAATACGGAAAATGTCTGTCGCGTCAAAATGGTCACTGTAATTTTATGAAACTGAATGTCGATTGACCAGAGAATTTTCTTGATTTAATTTCATCGGAGACTAATCTTATAGTAAGGCAAATTTAATTTATTTCATCCGAGACTAATCCCAGAGTATGGCAGAGATTGGCGGCCGCTGTGGTTTAGTGGTTAGCAGTGCGCACTACCATTCCGCAGGGCCTGGGTTCAAGCCCAGTTCTCCACAACATCAACGACGAAAACATTAGGTATTTTAAGAACTATACTTCGTTCAGATTTTCCAATTGGCAACAGTTGGCATAGAAGAGAAACGACTGGAGTGATTTGTTGGAATCGCCCATAATCGCTTAGACCGTTACAGCGCTAACAAAAGAAGAGGAAAATGTTCAAAAATATACCTATAGCGAAACCCTTAGCATTGACAGTAGTTTGACGAGCAATAACCTAAATACAAAAACAGCAACACAAACAAAAGCGAAGTCTAAGCCAAATACTACTGAAGTGATAATTTTTACGACAGAACAGACAAGAATTTGTTATGCCAATACCGAAATGACTCAATTCGCGAGCAAATCCCACACCAACTACAAAAAAGAAGCCAATACTATTTGGATTTTTTTTTGTTTTCTATATTATATAATTAATTCTCTTGTAAAAATACTTGTAAATATTATTTTCTTTTCAAACAAAATATCACAAACAAATAAAGCTTTGCGTTTCAGCATGGCCCACAGTCTCATGGCGCCCTGGAAGACATCAGTTCGGCTGATCTGGAAGACATTAGTTGCGCATCATTACACCACTTTCACTTTCTCTCTCTCTTTTGCGCGCTGCCCACTCAAGCTTGTGCCCAACGATCTTGCATTTGTGTGGTGGCGATCTGATTGCCAGTGCTGCAGTACAATGGTTCAATCAAATCGTTATCGGCTGGCAAATCGTTGTTGGCAGTCCAGAAGAAAGTGCCATGGGCAGTGCGTAGAAAATGTACTGGCACGCTGCTGATATCGGCAAATTCGTAATCTTCCAATTCACAGGAGGCAGCCAAACGTTCATTGGCATCATTCTCAGACGATTCGAGAGAGATGCACTCAGCTTCGGACTCCAAATCGGCATTGCGGGAATTCTCCAATGATTCGAGCGACTCCAAAGAGTTAGCTTTGTTGGTGTTTTCGAAATTTTCAATAAGTTCTTGTTGCTGCTTCTGCTGCTCTGATTTCTGTTGTTGTTTGAAGAGTTGCCTCAACAAACGTTTAATGCTATAGCTGACCT